TTCCGATCAGCTGGGACTTGGGACGCAGAGAATAGATGCGGGCGGGGCTAGTCAGAGGTGGTATTTACCGGTTCTCTGAACTACTCCAAATTTCCGCTACCGGTTCTCCAGAACTGGTCAGAACCTGCTGAATACCACCTCTGGTTTAAATCTGGAATTGTATTTATTGAAACTACAAGTCTTAGACCCATTTGTAAATTATACTTTGAACTATACTTGAAAATATGGTAAAATAAGACAAAATCCTGCCCAGTAAAGTTTAATCTTCCAATGATTTAGTTATAGTCATGTAACCAATCTGAATTTTATTAAACTGAGAGCTAGGTATGAGACTTAGGGATAAGTGAACATTTGAATATATTGAAAATCTGAATTGGGTCCAATATGAAATGCTGTATCTTTGTTGATTAAATTAGTATTGATAGATGCTAAGTAGATAATTCCTTTATAGCAGATAATTCAGATCATGTGAGGTATTAGTACCGCTTTAGCCTTAGTAAAACCACACTTAGAATACTGCATCCAGTTTTGGTCACTATATTATAAAAAAGATGTTGAGCCTCTGTAAAGAGTGCAGAAAAAAACAACAAAGATGATTATGGGGCTGGAGGCTAAAACATATGAAGAACAGTTGCAGGAATTGGGTATGTCTAGTTTAGTGAAAAGGACTAGGGCTGACATGATAGCAATGTTCCAATATTTGAAGGACTGCCATAAGGAAGAGGGGGTTAATCTATTCTCAAAAGTACCAGAAGACAATACAAGAAACAATGGAGGGAAATTAATGAAGGAGAGAAGCAACCTAAAATTAAGGAGAAATTTCCTAACAGTGAGAACAATTAACTAGTGGAACGACTTGCATTCAGATGTTGTGGGTGCTCCATCATGGAGGCTTTTTAGAAGAGACTGGACAGCCACTTGTCTGGAATGGTATAGGGTCTCCTGCTTGGAGAGAGTTGGACTAGAAGACCTCTAAGATCCCTTCCAACTTTGTTATTCTGTTTTTGTGTCATCCTAACTATGAAATTATCTCTGTAGATTTACTTATAGGTCTTTTTATTGTTTTTCATTGGACTTGGTTTTATTTTTACTATTTAATAAATTTATATGCTGCCAATCTCACTCTGGGAAGTGACTGAGTGGCTTTTATTATTTGTCATGCTGAGTATTTATATCTAAACTAAAAAATGAAAACTGTTCTATAGAAATAGATTAATTTAAAAATTAAAAGAATCAGAAATAGTGCTTCCCAACTAAAATTTAATATAAAACTAATATTCATGGTGCAACCAGAACATATAAAACAGTTGACTTTTTTCTTTTTCGTATTATATGAAAAAAAATCTTCTACTGAGTGATAGTTACCATTATATGAATATTTTTACATTTAACAATAGAGATGTAAAAGGCTATATACGGTCTTCCAGATGATGAACTCCAACTCCTATCATCCATAAATCAATCAGTTACATCTAAATAACTTTCATTAAAGTTTCTGCATGTTATTTCTATACAGTACTTCTATCTATATCAGGGCTGTCAAACCTGTGGCCCGTGGGCCGGATGCGTCACGCGCTGGCTACGCCCATGCCCAGCGAAAGGAAAAAAAAAGTCCCAATATGTCACGTGGCACTGCCGTGATGACCTGAGTTTGACACCCCTGATCTATATAGTACTAACAGGAAAAATGATTCTTAACCTATTAGTTATAACCAATATACCCAGGAATGTTGAAAAATCTAACTTGCAAAAGAAATGTGTTAAATTCACATAATTTTTAGTGCAAATTGTCTTATATATGATTTCACTCTCAATAAGATATACACTTATCTTTCCTTTTTATGTTACCCTATTCCACATAAGTTGTAGCTTGGAAGCAGACTGAAATGTTTAATGCTGTAATTATCATAAAATGTTCTTTTAAGAATGAAGTGCATCAATATATATTACAACTTTGAAGTAAATTTTAATGTAGGGGTGGGTAAATTTCATATCCAGAAACAACCTTGTTTTCATTATCACTGGCTATGCTGGATGCAGCTTTTTTTTTTTCCTTAACTGGTTTAGCTGTTTTTTAAAAGTGAAATTTACTAAAGTTCTGCCAAGTTTCCTCTTTTAACACAAGCGACAGGAAGAATGATAAAGCAGTAGCGGGTTTTTTTTTACTTTTCCACTGGCCCTCAAAAGACATGACCACAAAACATGAAATAAGAAACAAAGGCAATTGACATTTGCTTTTTTAGAATCAGTGGAAAAGAAGCAAGGGCTGTGTTAACTGCAGTCCAGATACAACACCTGGCTATTCCCATGATTAAAGCAGAGGAATGAGTTGAATCCTGGAAAGGGATTTCTTAAGCAGGCTTCATTTCTATTTAGTTTACTCATGGGAGACAAGCATCTTAAAGTTGTAGTGCAAAAAAGTCCTTTACCACTTTCAATCACATCATCACAGAAAACAAATCTAAAGCATACACAAATGGTAAACTATAGTGTTTTATTACACAAATGATAAGATAATGGTAGTTGAAGATTATGCTGCATTCAGTACATTTTACTCCATTCTGCATAGATTAACATTGTGCTCTCTTCCAATGTATAGAGCAAGACATAAACTTAGCTTCTTTCAGGCAGCATTTTAAAATACTCAAGGTGGATGGGTGGTGGTCTTTTTAATTCAGGTGTTAAGATATTGCCTGTTAGGATTTGGAAGAAAGTGATAGTAGCATTGCAACATGGCCCAGTTGCAAAAACAGAAGTGGGACCACCCTCAACAAAGGCTGAATTCATAAATTGTGCATTTGAGTTGATGAGCTGTATCTTCTAGGTTACTGTTTCTTTTTCTCAACCAGTTTAATAGTGTCTCACTATCCCAATTGCAAATAATGGCCTCTAAGTATATTTATTCTTTTTTTTCCTGTAGCTTTTTTTTAATTTAAAGATTCTTTTCTGCTTTTGCAAACTATAGATTCCCCTTATTTGCTTGTATATTCTTATGCGCATACTTTTATTTTACATAAATGGCACTATGCCTAAATATTTGAAAAAGAACAAATGTGCAAGATGTTGACATACGATAGGTTCTTTTTCAGGTTCTAACTAGTCAGTAAGTGAGCCAATCACTCTTTTCCAGGTTCTGCCATCACCTATGCACCCAGACTTTTTACTAACTTTCAACTTTCATTTCACACTCCTTGGCAACTTTGAGTATGCTTTTCCAGGTTAGCTTGTAAACCTCGTTCTTCCTTTCTCAGTATTTTTTAACTTCTAAAAACAAAGGTATGGATGATGCAGTTTTACTTAAATAAAAACAGCACCAAGAAAATGATTTTAGAGGAACGGCAATACATAATGGCTCTTATGTTCATGACATGATTACCTGTGATTAACAACCATGATTTATACAATCCATTTTATTTTATAAGAATTGATCACACAGCTTGGTTCACATTAAAATAGATTAAAATGTAATTGTTAAATTGAAGGACAGGAGATTATGCAAACACAAGTGTTAACATCCATTAATCCTCCTTATGACATAAAAAAACCCCAAATAATAAAACTGGTCTTTCAATGGTAAGCCTATATTTAAAGCAGCAGCAAATTTAGTAACTCAGAGCCCATGGCACGTCTTTACCAGACCAGAGTGGAATGGATTTAAAGCAAGCATCCAATCATGGCCTCTATCAATGGCTCAAATAAAGTAAACAAAAATCCAGAAACATGGTGTTTGCCAAGGCAGGGAGATCATCAAAGAGAAAAGAGGGCTGGTAGAACTGTAGAAGAAAGGAGGACTTGGGTAGGTGGGGTGGATTCCAAAGAGTAGCTAAAAGTATTGGGAATGGGTGTTGGGGGGGGGATGGGGCGACCAGCAGAAGTAATTGGGTAAATAAAGAGATACTTCATTCTAGGTGGATGTTTGATGGTCAAAGGCTCAAGGTTTTTGGTAAACAACTGATAAAGTAGGATATTCTGTTCAGCACTGAGTCCAATAGAAAGCAGTAGAAAGGACACCTATAGACTAGCATAATGGAAGCTGGTATTTTTCAGATATACAGCAGCCAAAATTAGAGCTGTTTTGTTCCTTCTGATTTTACTTTCCATGTGACATGTGGAATTTCAATTCCCAAATAAGATATATATAAATCCCAGCTTCCCATGCTCCCATTTTTGACTATGCATGTTTATTTATTCAATATTTTATCCTGCCTTTTTACTTTATAGGTAAGCCAAGGAGGTGAACATGCCTAATATTTCTTCCTATTTTCTCCACAATGACCCTGTGATTATATACCTCTTACAGTATTTGTTCATAATGCAAAGAAAACATTTTAAAAATTAAAAAACAAGCATATTCCCATGTCAAAACGTTGCCATAGCCCCTCAATATTTTACCACAAAGGATAAAATATAAGGCTATTCTGTGGGTGAGCATTTTGAAGTTTTGAGCCTTTTTAAATCTGTAAACTAACTAGGTTTGATGCTCCCCTCCCTTTCCAGGTATTTTTTATTGAAGAATCAGGAAGCCTGTCAGAATAGGTGGAAACATGTATTAAGCAATTTTTTTACTTTTTTGAACTATTGATATTTGTATTCTGAAAATTTCAAGAAAATTCTTCCAGGTACATTAGGAACCGGTGATAGTAATTGAGATAGTTGTAAAATAATTTCTCCAAATCCGTTTCGAAGCTACTGGGCTTTTCATTTAAGTAGGTATATAAAACCTAGATGTTTGACTTTATGTCCAAGTCTTTTCCAAGTAGGATTAGGTGCCGTAAATTTTCATCGGAAAGTGACGGATTTTATACGCATTACCTGTAGAACAATGCCACCCATCTAACGGCATGTCTCAATTGCTGTTGCCTTATTCATTGCGACCATTATTCTTTCGCCCAGCGTTATGCCAAGGCCGAGCAGCCATCGGTGGGAATCGTGCGGCCAGTGTCATTAATAATGTATCCAGGACGGGGGAAGGGCGGGAAACCCGAAGCATTGGAGCGAGAAGGGGACGAACCGCTCCAGCCGAGTCCTTTGCCCGCAACGTTCAAGCGCAAAGCTCCGCCCTTCCAACTAAAGGACTGAGAGGGCAGTATTTTAATTTCGGCGAGCGGGCCGCCTCATTGGTCGGGGAAGAAAAGGCGGGACGAATTCTGTCCAATAGAAGCGAACGAAGGAATGAAGGGTAGGGCTTTAACCTGAATGACAGCTCAGGAGATAAACAAGTCCCTGCGCGAGACTTCTCCATTAACCGAGCTCCTTAGCCCAGTTTCTCCCTCCAGAAGGCGGCAGCTGGTGGCGGGCCAAGGGAATAAGCTCGTTTCCCGGTTTCTCTACTGAGCCATCCGCGACTCGTTCACAACGTGAAGAGTCAGCAACTTCCCAGCACCCACTCAGCAATAACCGAGGGAGCGCGCCGCAACGCGCAGGCGCTTGCTAGCTAAGGTATTGCAAGAGACTCTGGGTCTTGTAGTTCCGGCATTCCCAGTCTTCCCCAAGCGCCTGCGAATTCGCGCCTCCATCACTACTACCTGACCCAGAAGCCCTTGCGACTCTAACTCTTGGAAGCGGTGGTTGAAGCGGGTGGCGGCTGAGGGGACTCCCCCACAACCCCCCCCTCAAAAAAAAACCCAAAACAAGGAAATGGTGCCCAGTATGGTGGCCTCGTGCCCTTGCGCTTGAACGCCGCCGGTCCCGCCGCCGCTCCGCCGCCGCCTCACCCCGTTGTCCACCTCCCTCTCTTCCTTCTCTAGTCGCTCCTTCCATGGGTGAAAGACATGGACTACGAGTTCAAATCCAAGCTGGCGGCCGAGCGCGAGCGGGTGGAGGATCTGTTCGAGTACGAGGGCTGCAAAGTCGGGCGAGGCACCTACGGGCACGTCTACAAAGCGCGGCGCAAGGACGGGTAAGCAGAAACCGCGAGGCGGGGAGCGGGAAGAGCGCGGCGGCGGCGGTGGCGGCGGCGGCGGCGGCCCAGGGGAGCCGAGGTTAGGAGACGTCGGTTTCCGCAGCGACTGAACTTTCAAGCCCTGCTCCCTTCCGCGGCGCCGTCCCAGCAGCGGGGCTTAAGATCCCCGCACCCGTCGGGTTGGGGCGGCTGGGGGGTTGGAGGGCAGGGCAGCTAACTGCAGGGAGAGCCTTTGGTGGGCGGATCTAAGGGTCACCGTAGGCGGGGCCAGTGGTGGGCGGGGCCAGAGCCGAGAAAACTCCCGACAGCGTGAGTACCTACGAGACGGGATTGATCGTGCCGGAATTTGAACCCTGGGAACAGCGAAAGCATCTTTTGTGTATTGACACTTTAATGCGCCACCCGAATCCCATGCAGGGAAAAAAAGTCCCATTGAAATTGAAATTAAATCTTTGTTTGGAAAAAAAAAACACAAAAAAACTTGCTTAGCACAGCGATTTCTGCCGTTTAAGGAAAAGGAGCCCCCGTTTGGATGAAATGATGCAAGCTGGTCATTTCTTCTGCTTTCCTTCTTTTCTTTCAAGAAGAAACAAAGATCGGGAGTCATCAGTGAGTTTCCCTAGCTAGAAAGCGGACAAGTCAGCTTCTAGGGAAGGAACTCTTTTGCTTTTCCATTTTTAGTATAAGTCATGGGTGCTTTTCTCCCTGCACCGAAGATTGGTTCCACAACACTACCTAAACTTTTTGCTTGAACAGTTTGATCCAAATGCTTGCTGTGTGTGAACAACACAACCTAGAGAGGACTGCCCTAGTCCTAGGACATTTTATCTTCTCATTTGCTCTCTTTTGGCAACTCTGAGTGCATTCAACTTAGTTCACCAACTTGTTTCTTGCTATTCTTTCTGGGGGGGGGGATAAAGTGAGGAGAGATCATTTGTTTAGTGCAAGATCAGCTACTGCCTTTATACAGTTGTTTGGCTTCTGTTTTTCTTTGTGTTGGGTTTAAGGATGGAAGGGATTGCACGGTTGCTGCTGTCTCCTCACTTTGCAATGAACATGCATTCTTGTCACTGGTAGTGCAGCAGGAATGATTGGGCATAGTGGGACAATCAAAAAGAAAGACTTGGGTATAAGGAAACATTGCCTGTATGGTTCTTCTGTTTCATGCTGTGGTTTGAAGAAGTATGCTAATTGGATCCAGTCCCCACTCTCAGAATAGGGGTGGAATAAGATGAAGCATCTACTCCCTGAAATCTCTTACTCTATACAGTAGTGGGCTCTTAGAAGTGGGAGCAATTTACTGGACCAGTTTGAAACCTTCCCTGCTGGCCATTGATTTTGCTTGTGGGAAGTGAGCAAATGCCTATTACATGATATGGCCATAATCACAGCCCAGACAACCAAATGCCTGGATTGTGATCATTTGACCTTGGGGATGCTACGACACCTGTAACTTACAGAACTGGTTTTAATTTTTTTTTTCAGTGTCATTGTAACTTTGAACAATGAATGGATGGAAGTAAGCAGAGGACTATTGGTACTGCATCACCCATCTAGAAAGGACAGGAGTGGTTGCTTGTATTTTTGTTTATTAATATTTCTGTGGGCAGAGAAGTGCAAGAGCAAAATGGCCAAACTCAGATGCACTAAAGAAGGAGATTCCAGAGATCTTGGGGCAGGATATCTCTCTTTCCAATACTATTCATTATTTTGATGGCATGCCTCACAAATGAGCTGCTTTTGGTTCACTATAACAGGTAGCATTAATCACCCTTTCCAAAATCAGGACTGTAAAATAGAAGAGGAAAGGAGGATACATGTAGTAATCTTTCTGCCCCTTTAGCAATTAATTGCAGAGAAAAACATGTTACTCTGAAATACATAATTGAAAAATCTATTGGAAAAAAAGGAAAAAGTGAGAAAAATAATCAGGATTGAAGGTTCCTTAATAATTTCATAGCCACCTTAAAATTGCTTCTGTACCGTAGAGCAGAGGTTCCTAAACTTTTTGCTATCACACCTCCCTTTAGTGGCAACTTACACAGTTACTCTAAAATTCCAAACACCAAAATGAATACAAATGTGCAAAGAAAACAATGCCATTGAAGTATGTAATGTTACAATGTAACTAAAAATTATTCTCTCTCACACACAAATTCTTAAAATGTTTGCCTGTACCTTCCTAAGGTACAGACAATTTTTTTAAAAATTAAAAACATAAGTTGAAGGAAAGTGCAAAAAAAAAAAAAGCAAGGGAAGCGGCATACCATGGAAATACCACCACCCCCTTCACAAAATTAGTGGTATACCCCAGACTTTACATTTTAAAAAGAATAAACTATTTTAGGAAATACCCAGAAGTTCTAGGGAGCCAATCAGTCATCTAATGTGATTTCTTCTGCATGGGGGATAATGGAGAAAGAGAAAGGATTTGAAAAATTCATTTCCCTGGATACTGAAGTGATTGGCTCCTGTCTTTAAAAATCATCAGATATTGATTTTATTTTATTTTATTTATTTATTGTAATTTGTCAAACAGAAAAGAAAACAGGAATAATATAAAAATACAATGACAGGGACGATAGGCACGTTAGTGCACTTATGCATGCCCCCTCTACGGACCTCTTAAGTATGAAGTGAGGTCCACTGAAGTCAATTTGTGACTAAAACTGAAAATTTGTAGCTGAGACAACTGAGTCAGATAGAGCATTCCAGACTTTGACAACTCTATTACAAAAATTGTATTTTTACAGTCTAGTTTAGAATGATTTACATTGAGTTTAAAGCAGTTGTTCGGGCGCATATTATTGCGATTAAAACAGAAGAAATCATTTACAGGTAAAACATTACTATGTACAATTTTGTATGTACAATTTAGGTATTTTGTAATACCTAAGTCTGACTGCAATCGACACAGTTCCAAGTTATCCAAACCAAGAATTACGAGCCTAGTAGCATAAGGAATTCTATTATGTCTAGAAGAGTGCAAAACTTTTCTCATAAAGTTTTCTTCTAAACCCGCTCGATTGTACTAATATCAGATATATGGTAGGGATTCCAAACAGTTGAACAGTACTCTAAGATTGGTCTAGCATAAGGTTTATAAGCTCTAGTTACCAATACAATGTTTCCAGAAAAGAAGCTTTGTAGAATTAAGTTTACAACTCTTAGTGCTTTTTTAGCAACGCTGTTACAGTGAACTTTGGAGCATAGATCGTCAGAGATAAGTACACCTAGGTCCTTAACAAAGTAAGGGTCATCTGCTAGATCAATACCACCTAGCTTATACTTGACATTCTGATTATGTTTACCAATATGTAAGACAGAGCATTTATTAATCGAAATTTGAAGTTGCCAAATAGATGACCATCCAGACACATAGTTGAGATCACTTTGCAAAACAACAGAATTATCTGTAGTATTAAATAATTTTACATCATTGGCAAAAAGGACGCAATTGCTTTTAAGTTGATCACATAAATCGTTGATATAGAGCAAGAAAAGCGTGGGACCTAAAACACTGCCCTGCGGAACATCACTATTAATTGATGCAGGATTAGACAGTGAGTTCCCTATTTTGACTTTCTGCAGCCTATTAGACAAGAAAGCAACAATCCACTTGTGCAAAGGTCCAGAAATGCCATAAGAATTTAATTTCAACAGCCATTTTTCATATAAGTAGTTTATTATATAAGTAGTCTTCTGTTAATGATGGTATTTGGAACCAAGAACTCTGCTACTATGCAACCTGGTAGTAAAGTTCAACATCACATGACCATGCTGACTTATATTGGCAATTCTAGTTGCATTCATTAGGTATTTCCACACAATCATTAGACATGATATCACATGATTGCCATTTGTGACCTTGTGACCAATGGTTTCCCCATTGACTTGCTTATTGGAAACTAGCAGTGAAGGTCACAAATGGTGATCACATGATTGCAGGATGCTGTGACCATCCCATCTGCGATTGTCACAATTGCAAGCTGTTTGCCAAGTATCTGAATTGCGATCATGAATTGCAGAGATGCTGCAATGGCTACAACTTTGAGGACCAGCTGTAAGTCTCCTTGTTCAGCGCCACTATAACTTTGAAGCAGTTGCCAAACAAATGGTTGTTCATCAAGGACTATCTGTACTGTGCTTGGATATGTGCATGCCAAATAAAACTATTAATAAAACTATTTGGCAGTTCGAGGCTCAAGGCTGACTCAGCCTTCCATCCTTCTGAGGTCGGTAAAATGACCCAGATTGTTGGGGGCAATATGCTGACTCTGTAAACCGCTTAGAGGTGGCTGTAAAGCACTGTGAAGTGATATATAAGTCTTAGTGCTATTGCTATTAATACAGAAAGAAGGGATCCCTAAATAACACTCCACTAGCGGCATCTAAAAGTAGGAAACATTTTACCCATTAATGATTCCGTGTCTTCTGAAGCCAGAGGAAAGGTGAACTGATGAGAATATGTGACTAATTAGAATTAGTCCTTTATTGTCACTAGTTTGTGTCATTGTGCATAAGCTCCCAGCTGTTGCAAATAATTAAATTTGCTTTGGGGGCTCATTTTGAAATTAAACATTGAAAATGGCCGCATAGCCTCAGAGCTATTGAAATTTTTTACAGCTTTTTTACCACTCAGGATGTGAGTAGTTTAAAAATGCACAAGTCGAAGAGTACCTCTTTGTTGGAGTGTTGGATATCTTGTATACATGTTATATACATACTTTGTTGACCAAAGCATTTGTGATTCCAATACTTTGAAATTCAAAGTTGCAAGCTTTGTATAGATTTATTGAAAAAAAAAAGACAATGAACATAGTGGCATTTATTTTTAAGTAAATATACATAACATTGGGGAGCATGTCTTGGTCTTCTCCTTCCATGTGTCTCCTTCCTGCCAGACCCATCCCTCCAGTGCCTTGGAAGGAGGCTGCCCTGCCAAGGATCTGCTGGTCTTTTGTCATGAACAGGATGCCTCAGCTGTGAATTTTATG